AAACGAGACTGAAAGAGAGAGAGAGAGAGAGAGAGAGAGAGAGAGAGAGAGAGAGAGAGAGAGAGAGATAAACGCACGCAATGATAAAAAGAGAAAGACAACGGTTGGACTAGGGTGTCAGAAACAGAGGGGAAAGAAAATGAAAGAAATGTTCGAAAGGGAGAAGTGGGGTTGGGTAAAAGTTGACACCTTTTTTTCTCTCTCTCTTTTCTTTTTTTTTTTTTTTACATTTCTATCTCTTTATATACCGGGGAATCCGAAAAAGTCGTGGATGGAAAATAAAAAAAAAAAATAAAAGATATTAAAGGACGAAGGAGACTTTTTTTTTACGATATAAAACAAAATCTCAGACATTTTTATCCGATTTTTCGCATAAGCGCGATTCGAATTTATTATAATTTTGTTTTGCAATTAATGTCTACCTTTTTTCACATTACGAAGAAAAAAGTCAGAATATAATAAGAGAACCAATAGCTTTTTTATTATCAGAAACTTTTTGTTTTTTTCTTGTATAATTTAGTTATAAAAATTCAAATACTTTAACATTGTTAAATCATTGATTTTTAAATTGTGTATTCCACATATAATTATAAAAAGAAAATTAAATAAACTTGAGATTGTGTGTGTAACATATTTAAGATATTTATATAACAATAATACACCATGGTGTGTGTAAAAATATTCTCTACAATAAAAAAAAAAACAAATCCGAATAAATTGAATAAAATAAAGTGCAACACGTATGTGTAATTTGAAAAATGTCTTTCAAAATCGTTTAACAAAACTTCAAACATTTTTATTCGAAAATATTTTCCTTTACACTTACAAAACCCTGTTGTCACTATTCTTTTGATCTACGACTTTTAGTATACCCGTTAGACATTAAATATACTACCTATGTACATATGTACATATGAGAAAAGAGTACATAATGTTCGTTTTAGTTTAGCTATCGTTTCTGCCTACGAGCTAGATCGTACGATATATGTATACACATATATATATATATATATATGCGAAACGATTGCGAAGTTTGTGCTGGTGGTGGTGGTGAGGGTTGTGAGAGAGGGTGAAAGGGGGGAGGGTGAGGAAGAACGACGATCGATGTCTGTGCTTTTCCACTCTTTGGTCACGCACCTACGTATGCATACATTGAAAAAATTCAGTTGGTCTCTTTGTGTGTGCGAAACCACCCTTCGACAATTACTATACCTACCTTTGCACCCTCTGTTTCCTAACCTCCTCTTCCCCCCCCTCTGTTCCTCCCCCTATCATTCTAATCCGTTGTCATCTCCCTTCCACATTTCGTTTTACCCATCTACACTTTTTTTCTTCTTTCCATCTCCCACTTGCTCAACGACCACCCTTTAACCCTTCCTCCACCCTCTCCCCCACCCCCAAACCCGTTTTACTGATTCCT